CCTGAAAATTGTGGAAATTTGTATTTGCACCGTATTCAAGGTCCACTTTCCTTCCTGCATACCATGGAATCACAGCGCTCTCTTCACGGTCCTTCTCAGCTGCAAGTACCAACCACAGACGATACAGCCTCGCCAAGACTAAAAATTCAGAGATGTCTCATACAGGAAAATGTGCCAGGACAAAAACACGTTCTTCATGTCCCCTTCTCACCACCCAGACTGTGGTGCTGTGTTGAATGTCTTGGCCATAGAATGACAAATCCAGCAAGTGTATCTCTCCTAGCACATTTCCCCTGAGCGAGAGCTACAGGGAAAATTTGCACTCAGTGAAAGAGAAAGCGAACTAGAATTGGCCTCCGGGAGAAGGAAAGTGCCTCACGCTGCAGAAGGCGATGAGTGAAGCTGCAGGGCGCTGTGCTGCTGTGCACAGCCTACAGCCTGCGAGAGCACCGTGCCTGCCGCTTCCCTGCTGCCAAATTCACCTTCGCATCGCAAGCGGGACCAGCAAAGCTCTTGCCTTTTTCCTGGGCACTGTAAGCGCTCACCAAAACAGCCGCACTGTGGCGGTGTCGACTCGCAAAAGGAGGAAACACACCGAGCCAAGCTCGAAACCACCCCAAGGACAGAGAGAAAAGCTAGAAACACCCCTGCTCTCGAATCAACGGCGTCAGGACAGAAAGATTTGGCTGATCTTCCCCTTCCAAGTACTCTTCTTTGCCCCATGTTCAAAGGGCAACACGAACTCCTTTACCCTAACAAAGCTTTGCACTCTCCCAGAGTCCACAAACTTGAAAATATCTGGCAAAAACAGAGCTCACAGAAGTGTCAGCTGAGAAAACTCTTGCTGCTCACAATTTTAACTGCACCCATCAAACTGAGAGCACACACCCTGCTCTCCACACTTTCCTTCTCAGCTCTAGGTACCATCCTAAGCCTTCAGTCTCACAGAGTCGGGATCCAAACAGAACAGGAGTGGGGACTGCTCACAAACTAAAGCTGCCAGGACAAAAAGCTCAAGAACCTGGTGTTTGCATTCCCACTGACTGTCCAACATCACTAACCCAGAGAACTGCATATTGGGAAAAGCCTTTAAATTCACTGAGTCCATCCAAAGTTTGCATCCAAACTTTCTTTCATTGCCAAAGAGAGGAAGTAGAAGCCCATCTCAAAAGAAATGGCATCCCCTCCTCCAAAACACAAAACATCCAGGGACTGGTCCCATACAAAGGTGCCAAAGGACTGGTACTAGGCATTACCTGCCCAGGGCACTAGATCAGTCACACATAAAGCTTCAGCATAGCTGCTTACCTTGAGAGAATGTGAAAAAGGAAGTGTGAAAAAGGAAATGTGACAAAGGAAGTGTGCTGCCAGAATTTCACAGAGGCCACCTCTGAGAAGTGGGAACTGCATGCCAAATTCAATTTTTCAGGAGGTCACCTTCCAAAGATGGATACCAACTCCATAATTGTACGAATTGAGGCAGTGCTTTCACACAATGACAGAAAGTTGTTGCTGCTGTTGACCTGCACAACACAACTTCTTACCTGCACCTCCAACACTGGGCTTACGTGCTTTCCTTCCCATGAAAAAACATTGCCATTCTCCTGCTGGAACTTAGCACACAGAAGTTGCATACCACTTCCAGTACTGAATACATCCAACATCTGCTCCTACACAGAAGGAGCCAGGAGAGAAATGTCTTGCTGGACTATACCTTCCCATGGTACCTCAACATCTGTGCTACCAATATTGGCACAGTATCTTTTACTTCTCAAGGAAAGGCACTCTGAGTCTCTGGGCCATGCCTTGCCTTCAGTACCTTGCCTAGTTTTTCCTAGCCTACCCCTGCTTTGTTTGCTTGTCTATGTCTGCCTTGCCTGGCCCTACCTACATCTTCCCCACTCTGCTTTGCCTGGTCTACTGCTCTTTACCTTGCCTTCCATGCAGGCAAGGCACTGCAAACCAAATGTCAGCAGTTGTGGGCAAGTTAAGAGAGAGGTAGGCAAGGCCAGAGCAGTGAGGGGAAAACAAATGGAGTGGTAGGCGAGAGACGGCCCAGAAATTGTGGGTGAGGATGGGCAGAGGAAGGTAAGCTCAGTGATGGGTAAGCCAGGCAGAATCAGGAAGGGCTAGGCACGGCAAGGCCCGAGAGGAAGGCAGTAGGCAGGTCAAGGGTGGGGCTTGGGCATGCAAGGGAATGCAGGGCTAGGAGGGTTAGCTGGCCAAGGCAAGGAATCTGTTGGGGTGCCTAGGCAAGGTGACAGGTCCATTCAAGAATTGCTGGTACGTGAAATCAGCCTGGACAGACTGCTCTGTCTGGCCTTGATCTCACATGGGCCATCTCTAATCTGCACCTAAAACACTTGGGCTAATTGCTTTCCTGTGTATGCAGAAGAGCTGTCGTTCTGGTCCTGGAGCCCAAGGTAAAATGTGAATTTCGTGTCCGAAATTCAAGGCATGTAAGGAGAGTTGCCAGACCACAGCTGCCAGGACAGATGGGTGTGCCTGCATGTGATCTCCTCTGGGCTTCTTCTCACAGGCTCCTGAAACACTGGGGACACGTGAAAGCCTTGAGAGTCCTAGGGGGAGCAGGCAGGGGAAGGCTAGTTGAAGAAATTCCACAAAAAGAGAGGTATTGAATTCCAGGTGGGGGACGAGTGAGCAAGTAAATGCAAGGAACTGGTTTGGAAGGAAGGGTAAAGGAATGACATGGATGGGTAAGGAAAGTAAAGTAAAGGAATGGTCAGGAATGATAAGGAAGTACAAGGTTGGGTAGGAAAGGCAAGGCAATGTAAGGGAGGGGTAGGCAATACAGTGGGCGTCTTAGAGGAAAAGTCATGGCAAGGCCAAGAGAAAAGCAGTAGAGAAATCAAGGGGGATGGGTGAGTGTGGCTGAGAAAGAAAGAAAGTGCATTGCTCCCCTGAGTGTGTGCATTTGTGTGTATGTGTGTGTGAAGTCTGAAGAATGTAAAGAGAAGAAAGCTGCCATTTGCAGAGAGAATGGACATTTTAGAACATAAGTGGCAAGGTCCAAGCAACCTCCTGGCACATCTGTGTGTGTGAGATGTAGCCAGAAACCTCTTTGTTTAGATCCAGACTGCAAGTGGAACACAGAATGTGACAGTGCAGATAGCTGAGCAGGAAAACACGTAGCATCAGCATGTTTTCACAGAAGCACTTTGGCTGTGTGAGAAGGAAATGGACGTGTGGGACTCTGGCAGTATGACACTACACTCAGCCGAGAAGCAAAGCAGATTTCTTCAGGGCATGCTCTGAAAATGAGCTGCATGGAAAAGGCAAGGGGCAGGTCAGCAAAAGCTTTCTGTCCTGGCACAGCAAGGTTTGAAGTGGAACTGCTGTTAGGTTTCATTAAGGACTCTGTGACACTGAGAGGATTTTTTCGTGCTTTTCCACGTAGCTGAGGAGGCAAGTGAAAATCCCTGTATGTCTGGCAGGTTTGTAGGCTGGAAGGGGAAGGTGAAGGCCAGGCCTGGCTTCTGGCTGTAGGACTTGTTGGAAGGAAGCAGCTGCTTGTTGTTCTGAGCTTTTAGGGATCTGTGAGAGTCTGAAAGACTATGCTGGTGCCTAATTAAACTAATAATTTTTGATCATCTGGCTAAATCTATTACAAAAACCAGGACTAGGATTTTGCCCCCTTCACCCCAGTTTTTTCACCTTTTCATTGAGCAGCTTTTTTGAGGATACTGTGAAATGCCTTGTCTTGAAAGCTAGAATTGCCTTGGTTCACCATCTAAGAAACATGGAAAACAGCTGAAGTCAATTTTGGAATTGGCCTGACCAGAGCTGGTGTTTCATTACCTGAAATTACCATTGCAAATATTTGCAAGAACCACCATGTCATCATAGTGCAAACATGTGAAATACAGTAGCAGCCTAATCTTATTTTCCTTGGATTCATTGGAAATTTTATTATTTACTGAAAGAGCAAACATCAAACGCAAGAAGCTTAATAATCCAAGCTAACTCACCGTTGTGCAAATAGCACTTGGTTAATTCAAGGTTCCATTGTAACATGGAATGGCTCTGCACAGGACAATGGAAGTCTCGTTCTTCACAGCGGGAGAAAACTTTTCTACCACAGAAACTCTGCAAATAATCCATCACACACCTCAGTGGGCTGCTGCTGGTCAAAGATGGGTCTCTGTGTCCATGATACTCCCAGGGCTCAAGGCCCCACGTAATTCCCCACCTTATAGAGAAACAAGTCAAGCATAAATTCACTTCTCCAGACAGCTCACTGAAACCAGACTCCATGGAGCTCTGAGCTCACAGCATCACACAGGGCAATTCTGTCCACAGATAGGTTTGGTTTTAATGAATCCAGAACAAAGTTGCATTTTTATAGTCTTTGGCTCATCTAAGATATTTTATGTAACACAGCAAGAATAAATTTGTTTAGACAATGATAAATAACAGGGGGGATAATGTACATTTTGCTGCTATCTTCCATTAAATAAATGCTAGCCAAATACCTCATCAACTCTTACTGTGAAGACAGACTTCCAGAATGGTAGAGAAATTTTGAATCTTTACAAGGCCCTTGTACCATGTGTCTTGGTAAATTTCTGTGCAGATCCTTTCCTTCAGCAGAATTTTTTTTGCACCATTAGCCCACACTGCTGAGCTGAATCCAGTACAAAAGCAGTTCCCTTTTAATTTGAATGGTCATAAAAATGCAAATTAAATAAAAGCATTTTATAGCAGCAGGAAGATTTTATATGTAGCTAGCGAATCATAGAAGATGTATATTTACAGATTAAATTAAATATTTATATTTAATGTTTTTAAAAACATTACAAGAATGACAGACAAAAAACATAGTTTAGTAAACTACAAATATAACTCTAAATCACACAGTATCTTGAAAGGTGACATGAGAAAGAACAAGAGGAAATAACAAAAAAAAAAGGAAACCAAAGGAAGTCAGAAATAAGGCATAATAACCTCTCATCCTTTTCTTTTTACTGCAGTATCTTAGAAGTACCTTAGAGTCTCTTAAAAGTTATGTAAGGAGAAAACTGTTCCAAGAACAATTGTGGAAACTGGAAAACTGTGCTATCTGAACTTAATAATCTGGTTTACTTTTGCGACGATTTAATCTGCATGCAATGCGTAAGGTATGTTTTGCATATTCAAAAAACAATTTAAAACTATTTTCAAATTGAAGGGACTACTTTTTGTTTGTTTTGAATTACTTGGTTAAATATGGCATCCATTAAAACACTGCATATAATAAAAAAAAATTTTATTATGTAGCTGCCAACAGCAAAGGAGGAAAGCATTTTGTGCGCTTAATAGTGTAAAGTATTTTAGAGTGCTTTTGTTACTAGTTTAAAAGGTTAGAATATGTGTAAAATATGCTATCTGGGGACTTAAAATTAATGAATTTTAATTAACTTGCTTTGCTGTAAGTAGGCTAAATTACATGATCTTTTAAAAAGTATTCTATTCCACATGCTGATTCCCAAGTAGATTAATAACCCTTAAGCACAACATGCAAGAGGGATACAGCATAAAAGATGAAGCAACACTGCTGACAGCAAAAGGCTAATGAGTAACGTTTCAGAGAGAGGTATTTTGTGGGGGGAAAAAAAACCCAACTCTTAAATATTTAAAATAATAGTTACATTTAAAAATAAGAAAACTATCAAAAACCTTTTATTTCTAGATGCATTACCAGAACAAACTGTGCCAGAATTAATGACACTCTTGATTATGACTGCAGAACTCTACCGTGGATACCCTTTCTCTTGCAATATTCCTGGAGAAATTAAGCCTTTGCTAGAAATAAATAAAAATTAGATTAAATATTGGACTTAATTTGAAAGACTATGTACTAAAGGCCAAACAGTTGTAATAGTAATTAGTGAACTAAAGGTTAAATCAATACAGAATAACATAGGTCAAAGATGACTTGTGCCCTAAAGTTCTCACAGCAGACTGTACAAACCTCTATTTTTGTGGGTTTGTTCTATCCCTTTAGATGTACCTTATACTTATCTCCACAGTATGAGAATGTTTGTGACAAGATTGAATGACCTCATACAACTTTCTGCAAGTAAAGAAGGAGAAGCCAGGAAAGAGAGGCAAAATTGCTAATTGCAGATGGAAAGAGGGAGGCAGATTAAACAAAAAGAGAAAAGTAATTATTAAAACTTCCAATATTTCCTGTGAAAAGCAAAGGCACAGTCAAGAAAGAAGAACTGCTAAATCATCAATAGAAAGGTGCAATTTATCCAGTTCAAGTATTTTGTGGTGCATTCCTTGCTATTTTCTCATGCCAAACAGCTTAACCATTGAAGGTTAACCCTTTTCTCTTTCTGTACTACAGCTGGAAAGGTCCCTGTGTCACTGCTGACAAGCTGCAATTCTCAGAGGTGCCCAGCTGAAAGTCCTATATCAACTGATTTGCTGTCTAGCTTTAATATGGCAGGGCTTCAACCACTTTCATTTTCAGCAACTCAAGTATCACAGCCCTAATATTCTTTGCCCCTTGAATGGTCACGCTTCTTGGTAAATGGCATTTGCAAGCACCTGAAACTATGCAGAATTTGCACTATTGGATGATACCAAATGAGTCACACCAGCTGATTAACTAGGGCACACAAAGCAGAAGGGGAATGAGAATTTAAGAAGAGAGTTTATAAGAAGAGAGGATCTGCTTTTTTCAAGTCTTAAGTAACAGTGAAACCAGCAACAGTGCTAACACCTTAGAAATCAAAATTAACACAAATTCTTCTAGGGGTAATTCTTGCAAAAGACAAAGACATCCTTTTGTGTTCAAAGGCCTGGGATATTTAGCTTTTGAAAATCAACTCATTTGCAAGTGTAACTGCAGAAGGGAGCCACCATTATTGTAGTTAATTCTATAACCCTTAGTGGGAATCTATCCTTGTGATGCACATTTCAGTCTCATTTTATAAGAAAAGAGGCATTGAAGAGTAGCTTCAGTGAAAAACATCCTAAATGTCCTCTGAATAGAATTAGGATCCAATAGAGTGAACTATTTCAGGAATGCCTGAGATATTGACTATGATGAGATCCCTTCTAAGATGCTCACTTAAGGTATCAAATGCTCCATCCAAATACTTTCAGATTAGTCAGAGGAGAAAAGCAAACTTTTTTTATAGTCCTTTGGGAAGATGGGGCTTGCAGGGGATTTGTGACCTTCTGGTATTTTGCCTACATTCCAAGAAAGAGTATTAAAAACTGAAACAACCTATGGAAAATGAAGTCATTGTGAATGTGAAGGTCCAGTGGCAATTTTAAAAAGGAACCCATCAAAGCCCTTTAAATCCCAACACACATGTTGTGAGTTGGCAGTGTATGCAAGTTTTTACCAAATCAGACCAAAAATGCAGATCACAAAAAGAGGCCTTTAGGTCAGTTATAAGCAGTATGAAATAGGAAAGCATCAATCTAAGAGCATATCAAGTGCTATAAGAAATGTCTGCATTCTTATTAACATAAACAGAAATTTGCAATGAGTCTATGAAAATTAAAAACTAGGCAAAAGAAAGGGGGAGTGATGAATTCTCTGGGATAGTGCTTCCTCATAGAGATTTTCAAAACATAGGGGTGGTATCATCCTTTAATCCAAAACTCTGGGCAGCATACTTACAGATAGAAATAGTGCTGATATACTGAGAAAACTGGCACCAATGCAGCAGCATTCTTACCTCTTGATTTATCTTCACAGATGTGCAGATTCTGACCCTACCAAGGCCATTATCAAACCTGGATTCAACTGGCCAAATGCTTGAAGGCACAAGTCTGGAGCAAGGGATTCCTTCTACCTAACATGACATAAAGCCTCTGCTGAATTAATTCATCCCAGTTTAATCCATGTGTTGAGAAGGTCTCTGCCTTCCTGGAACCACCTGATGCAATTGGAATTTGAAGTTTTTATGGAAATTGGAGTTTTCATGAATTTGGAAAATAGATCTCATATTCCCATAGGCACAAGTACATGAGTGCATACATTGTATCTTAATTATCTTAATTAGTCTTCCGGGGCTGTTAGACTTTCTTGAGGAGGTTTGAACCATGGATCTGTTCTCACACCAAGCTTTGGGTCTTAGCTACCTGTGGGACTCCATATAGATTTATTATCCTAAAAACAGAGTACAGTACCCTAGTCAGATATTATTTAGAGATTATTTGGATGCTGTACTGCAAATTAAATTAAGGGTGTTAAAAAGGAATTTAAATAAAACATGTTTTGGAAAAGGAGAATGCCTATTTTAGTATTTAAGTATCCTCAAAGGTGTTGGCAGGAGGAATTTCTCCTTTGTACATGTAACACATATGCCATTATAACATATGCTCCTTTCAAGCGTATGGTTCACATATGATATTTTCAAGCTGAGTGTCATACTGGGATACAGCAAAAGTCAAATTTTAGATAGTAAGCTGGAAGAAACCCTATTTTGTAGTGGATAAAATGCACCTCTGGATTTTTCAGTTCTTTCCTGCAGTGTTACGAATACCTTTATAAAAGGTATCATGGCTAATGAGCTAAAAAAAATACAACCATAAGAAAAGGAAAAAAACAAAAACAAGCAAACAAAAACAAACAAACAAACAACCCCCCAAACACCCCAAAAAACCCCACCCCTGTGGCTGTGGTATGTTAATTTCATGTTTGTGGTTAATATTTCCCAGGCTGCTTCAGGGTGACAGTAAGTTCAGTCATCACACCGCCTCTCACCAGAGTCTGCTGCTGTTTCTAAATTACTCTGATAAAACACTGTGAAAAATGAACCTGTGGTAAATTGCAACATCCTTGTTATGTGTTTTCAGATGGGGACACAACACAATAATCAGTGTGCTCAGGTCACGCTCAGCACTCCCCACAGTGGATGCAATCCCCTGAGTTCTGCTGTGATTTACCTGCATGTCCCTGCATTTCCAGCTGTGCTGCTCTCCTCCTTTGCACTAGAAATCTCGCATCAGCTCATGGTTATGGAGACACCAGACTTCTCTTTGAGGGAAGGTAAAAAGCTGTTCTGGGTAGAAGTCCCCATCCACTGACCACAGGACCTCCAGCAGTTCCCAGTGTTCCAGTATAAGGCTTTGAATGGGAGACTTTGCAGTGTTCTAGGCCTAAGTGGATGGGGCTCTGAATCAGCCTGCTCTACAGGATGATGTCTCTGCCCATGGTGGGGTTTGGAATGAGATGGTCTTTGAGGTCTCTTCCAGCCCAAACCATTCTCTGGTCCTATGAAGCAGCTGATAGGTGAAAATGTGAGTTAAAAACTGGTAGTGAGGAAACACTTGCAGTAAAACAGCCTCTCCAAATATGTCTTTAAACGAAGTAAATCACCACAAGTTATTATAGGAAGAAGTGGGGAGTCCCTGCTTGCAGAGTTGTCAGAAATTAAACCAAGCCCAGTCTCTGTGGGTGTAGCTGGGTGTGCTGGCTGTTGTGGTGCTGGGGTATATTTAAGTGGTTTATTTATATGTAAATATAAGAAAGCAGAAACATAAACCCTCCTGTGTATTTGGCTATTCTAAAATAAACCCACACAACCACATATTTTGAGGGAGGTATTGCAGATGCTACAACCATATCAAGCAGGAGTATCCCTGCTGGCAGCCTGCTGTTTTTGCATGAGAGGGAAAATTCTCTCCTAAATAAGAAGTGTCTCATAAATCAGTATTCACATGATGATGTTTCCATCAATCTGGGCTCTGGCTCAAACCTCTCACCTTCCCACCCATTATAAAGCAGGAATGATTGTGCATGAAAGGAGGTGCCTGGATGTGAAACTAGCTGAGAAATATCCCAGTCACTTCTCTTTTCCCATCAGTAGATATTCTTCAGTTCCTGTTTCCTAATATTGTCTCTTTCACCATCTCCAAGCCCTCTCCAGAGTTGCTTGCCAAGGATTCCTGAGCCTTGGACAAAGACATACTTGAGCTATTTTAAATGAATCTCTGATGTTCCTATTGCATTTTGTCTTCAAAAGGGTGTTTATTATCCTTTCTACATAATTTCTCCCTCTTCTATGACTACAAGCAATACAAGCTAGAGTAAGACATTTACACCATGCAGGGCTCTGGCCACAGCTCTGGAAGGGCTTTTCCACCCAAAGTGATGATCCTATGGAAGTGGCAGGTCTGTGGTACCTGGCTCCTGAGTACTCAGCCAGTCCCACAGCAGCCTGATCATGAGCAATTGTCCCCAAAAGCCCCACTGACATCTGCAGATATTATTTTCAGAGCTGTAAGGAAAAGGAAATAGGAAGTAAAGCTGCTGTAATGCATTTTTGCATGTTTCAGTGTGGTGGTGTTTACTTTGTGAAAGTTGTTTTTTTTCCATTTTCTTTTGAGTGTTGTAAGCAGTGTCTGCAGCTCTTCAGCTGAGCTCAGCGCTGGCGTTTTCCACGGTGCAATTGACCCAGGGGCATTTCTTAGTGGCTGCATCCTGCCATCACCAAGGCTTTGCAGTGATGTTATTTAGCACAGGGGGAAGGGAAAGGAGCCAATAGATCCATTTATCTGGAAGCAGGGCTCCCAAGGGCAGCAGAGCCAGGCTGGAAGCTGGAAGCACATCAGCTCCTCTCTGCAAAGGTACTCTGATATAATTTGAAATTTTTATTGCTTGTTACCCAAGAGTAGAAGTGGTTGAGAGATACCATAAGTGCAGTCCTGACAATGGGGATGCACTGGTTTGCTGATATCCTGGGGTTGGAGAGAAGAACTCAAACTAATTTACTGGGACACTGGAGAAGAATTTAGGGCAGGTAAACCCAGACCCTGTAGTTTTATTAAATCTTGATCAGGCAATTCCATCTAAAGAAGTTTGTATATTGTTTGAACTGCAAGTGGCTTAAAGCTGCTGCAGTCATTCTTGGGTTTAATTCTGTTTTATCCTCTGAAGATCAGTGAAACGGTGCAGTGGGTGCTGCAAGCCATTATGGGCTGACATGAATCAAACCAGTTTAGGAGCAGTGCTGAGGCCTGTGAAAAGCAGAGGAGAGCAAGGAACACATTCTGGTGGAGCTGCCTGCACAGATGTGTTTCTGGCACAGTAAGTGTTGCATTTCAAAATGAAACTTTTTTGTTTTGGTTAGGTTTTATTTTGGTTTTTCTTCATTCATAGTGGAAGACAAATTCTACAGATTCTCAATTTTCCTTTTCTATTTTTTCTTTCTTCCACATTTCCTGCTTTCCCTGTCTTTCACTGCACATGTTCTTTTTTTTTCTGTGCTTATTTTTCCTGTTCCTCTGTTCCAATGGAGGGCAGGCAATGTCTACCATGTATGAATGGGAATATCATGCAAAAAAACCAAGGCACCAACTTCCTCTGTCTAACTCATCTGTGCCAATTACCCTCCACTCCTATATTCTTCAGTAGGAAATGAGGAATTGTCTACTGTGGCTTATTCTAGCAATAATGCATATTAAAATTGCCTTCACAGAACTTTTTCACATTTTATAGAGGGCAAGGGGCCTCTTGGGCTTTAGTTCTTGCATCTAGATGGTTTGAGAAAATAAATTCCTGAGAAATTGAAAGCACTTGTGATCCCAGCTGTGTTACATCAGAGCCCAGAGCAGGCTGGGCTTCTTAGGGCTCTGCAGAAATGATGGCTGTGCTCTCCTCATTGTCTCTCTGGAGCCAGAAACAGCAAAATGGACCTTTACATCTTCCAACAATAGTCTCAGCCTGTGAAAGCAATTCCCTCCTTCCAGTTCAGTCACAGCTTTTGATCTGGTACTTCTTGGTTTGGGCAAGGAGTGTGTTTTTTATTACTGATGTTTCATGATTCCTTGGATAATAAATTTAGAATCCTTGGGTTTTTTTTGGAGTGTGATAAAGCAGATATTAAGCCAACACTTTAGTGTACAGAATGCCACAGCTGGTGTGGAAGGCTTTGGTAGAAATGCCATGTACATTCTGCTGGGTTCACCTCTTCTTTTGGAGCTGATATGGATGGGTTCACCTGGGAGCTTTATGCTGTTAATTTGTGTAGTAAAGAAACATGCAACAAGTGAGGGAACAGACACTGACAGCAGTATTCTCGTGTCTGGCAGGAGTGGAAGAATAGGAGACTTACCATAAACCTTAACTGAAACATCACCAAAATCAAACAGGAAAACAGCTCCTCTGTAAGTATGGTCTGAAGCTGGCTGCTGATTCAAGAAAGATGATAAGCAAGTGGTAAATCAGTGCACTGAGCAGGAGGGGGAAAGCAGAGAGCTTCTGGTGGACTGCAGTATTTGCAAGGATCTGGTTTCTATATGAAGAACGTGGCAGAATTAGTTTTGTAATATAATTCATATGGGAAGAGACCTTGGGAGGGCTGTACTCCATCATCCTGCTCGTGGTCAGCCACTAGGTCAGACCAGGTTGCCCTGAGCTGTTTCCAGTCTGAGAAACCTCTCATGAGCTGTCCTGCTCTTTGGCTGACCATGCAGGAAGAAACATCCCCTGGCTTTTATTTCAACTTTTTCCCCCCTTGTCCCCCTTCTCTTTTGTGCTCGTACCATGCACCCTGGGCAGAGCCTGGGGCTGCTCCCTCAGTAAGTCCCTGGCAGAAGAGTGTTATGAGCCCCCAAAGCCTCTCCTTCTCCAGCAGAACAACTCCTCTCTCAGCCAGGGCTCAGTGCCCTGGTTGTGCTGGTGGCTTCAGAATTTTGGGGGCTTTATTCATTTTTGCATACTTATCCATTTTGTCAGTGTCTTCCTTATATTGGAATGACACAAAACCGGGCACAGTGTTCTAGGTGTGGTCTTCTGTATTCTAGGTAGAGGGGAGAATCCCTCCCTTCTCTCTTCTGGGTGTGCTTCTCTTGGTGTATATCCATATGGAGGCCTGAGGAGAAAAGGCTGTGTGAACTGGAGATCCAAGCAGGAATTAACTTGGTAGCCCCAGACCACAATGGCTACTGGCCCTTTTGGGTATGGAATTGGTGGGATAGTCAATGAGGGCATGGAAGGATAATAACAAAAATAAATGATTCTGCAGAGATCAGCCTGCCATGAGCTCATGAGTTACAGCTGAGTCATTTCCCATTGGTCAGCTGTAGGGTGAAAGGATTGGATAAATCAATGGATAAAGGGGGAAAAGGAAGCATGTTCTTGGTTCCTCAGACATGGCCTTACCTGATGCCCACAGACACTTCTGGCAGCGCTGCTGCAGCAGCAGCATGAGACTGCACATTATAGAAACTCTTGGCTAG